TCCCACCATTTCAAATGAGGTTTAACAGGGCCATGCTCAGGGTATTTAGAAGCTGCAGCTAGTATTTAACAGCAAACACGTGTTGAAAAGAAGAGTGTAAAAGATAAGTGGATGGGAAATGTTTTATACACAGAACTAAAGTCAAGCGCCATGCAGCTTTGCAAAACTGTAACCACCTTTTTAGTTTTGCCCTGTGTTATTTCATCCCGACAGTAACTGTCACAATATGACTGTAGTTATCGGAGTCACAAAAAATGGTTTTCGATAGTTTTGTATGTCTGAAATTTGTTAGTAATGCCGACTTTTTTTTCTAGGTAAAGCCAATCCTTTGTTACTTTTAAAACCTCTTCTTAGTTTTAGCTTTGAAATCTCTAGATTTATAAGCAGTGAAAAGGACAGGATATTATTAGAAAATATTCAATAGTATAAAAAACTTGGTATTTCTAACATTATAAATGCGAAGTAGCATAAAAATTAAGGCTATTTCCTGGATTACTTTAATAGACACTAGTAACGAGAAAAAAAGGAGAATGAAAAATCGGATTGGCTCTTGCAAGAGATTACTTTACTGGTTGTAAGTGTATTTTGAAGCAGTAAACTAATGTTAAACTTATGTAAGAAATATTCGTAGCTCCTGCCCGAGCCACTGCAAAAAAGTAAGTGTGGGAGCTTTTGTTATTTTAAGAGAAGACAGATTCCTGCAAAATAACCCTTTTTAAGGATGAAACCGTACCAATGGAAACTTGAAATCTTCCGATTCGCGGCGGTTATGTTTGCTCCGATAGTTGCGATTATGATTTACCACCGAAATGAGCCGTCATACAAGGTACCTTTTTGTGCATGAACATCCTGTGTTGACCACGGCATAAAAATGCATTTTTTGGTCTGGTGGTTCCGTCACTATTACTAATTAGTTTGGCAGCAGCAAGTAAACAATAGCAGCCAATGAGTACAGACTTTTAGAAGCTTATAACAAGGTCTGTGAAAACTACAAATATGAATTTAAAAATATTTAGTTTTT